TCAAACTAGAGAGATTCGAAGAGTATAAAAACTCGTCCGACTTCAACGATGCTTATAACAAATCTAACATACTATAAATATATACTCCCGTATTTATATGGAAATATCTGAACTTTCCCATAATTAAAATCAAATTTGTCGATATATTGTGTAATAAAATATTAGTTGATAAGGAAAAATACTTTTCTGTTTTATTCATTCTTAAAATCTCTTAATGATGCGATAAGCTAATGACGTCAGGTCATCTAAATGTCATTTATATTCGATTATTTTTTTCCCCTATAGAATTTGATTTCTATTCAATTTGTCTTTTCTTTACGAACATTATGTTTTTATTCAAAAGCATTGAAACTATCTTTAAAGTTATTTCCACATATTTTGAAATATCCTTTATACATTTTTTGGCATACGTTTATACTATAATAAAAAATGCATGTATATGTAAAAAATGTATATACTATAAACTACTATGCAAAATTTAAAAAAAAAAATATTGGAATAAAAGTTTATAAAGTACAAAATTTTAAAAAACATTGAAAACTCGGTTTGTGAGCACATGATTCGTTTCAAAAATTTACTCTTAATCCAAAGCACTCCTATATCAAAGTGTATTTCATCATAAAAAATAAATAAATGAAGAATCAACAAYTTTTATTCATATATTTGACGATTGTTTAAATAATTTTCTTTGTCAACATATAATAATAATAACATATAAGAAAACATATTGTAAATAATTGATATCGTAAATAATTGTGACTCTTAAGAGTTTGACGAACGAGTTAAAAAATTTGACGTAGGAATTGTTATTTTGTATAAAAAATGAAAGCGATTTTTCGATAAAAAGGCGAGAAATGTTTTTACATCATAAAATGCAGATAAATATACGTATACATATGTATATATGCGTGTATACATATGCAACTTTAAACGATATCTGTAACGTTTTGAAAACGTTCGAGAAGAATTTGGCGAACCGAAAACGATATACATTTTGCATTTTGCAACATAGTACGATCATTGTTGAATGTTGAAAATTAAACGATAGAATTAATATTTGCATCGCCAAAGGAAAAACGTTTTAAAAAGATAAAAAAAAAGAAATAGAAGAACAGAAAAATATGAAAAATTCGATGCAAGCACGTTTAACGAAAAAAAAAAATAAAATAATAAAAACAAATATTTGATAATAAAAGACAATTATTATGCCACATTGATTTTTTCAAGAGTAATAAAGTATTCGTGATGTTATTTAAAAAATACTTACTCTTTCGAATCATCCTTAAAAGAGAGTCTCGATAAAAGCTAGAATTAAGGTAAAATGGAAAACTTGAAGGTACTTTAATTATGTTTCAAGAGTTAAGCTCGGCTGCTTGGTGGTTACGCGCGGTGAAATCTTCCCTGTCTTAAGGGGATTCTCGCGAAACCCCATCGGTACCTAGTGACGGCTAATTGTAGGGAAAGAAGAGCTAGAATCAGGACTTTAACGCCAAGTAAGGACGACCCGTAATGTCATGATCTTGTCTTTTAATTCTTAACAACAAAATAGAAAGAAAAAAAAAGAAATTTTTCACAAAATTTATGATGTAAAATTTTAATCAATATTTAAAATATTTCTTTTCAATTTCTAAGGACGAACAAATGATTAATAAAATTATTAATAAATGTTTGATATTTATTTGATCAATATTATTATACATTTTTAATGAAATATTAAACATGTATTCCCCATGTTCATATATAAATCAGAAACAACCCTAACGCAATTTTGATTCAATTATAAATATTAAACATCTATTTAAGATGTACAAAATATTGATTAAAAATTTGCAAATGTGAATACTAATCAAATAAATAAATTTTGTAATTATACACATTTATCTAATTCTATCAATCATATTACGTGATAACGATATACGAATACCCATAAAAAAAAAAAAAAAAAAAAAAAAAAAAAAAAAAAAAAAAATAAATTACTCGAAAATTGGCTCGGCAAATCGTACGAGAAATACTGAATTCCTAAGGGGAAAAAAATAAAAAACCCCAACAAAAAAAAATAAGAGAGAAAAAGAGATATAGTTCTGATATCGGTGTATTAAACTGCCGTGGGACATTTTCACGTACTGATTACACACCAATGGGTTTATTCACGAGCTCCGTTTCCTTTTTTTATTATTCTTTTTTATTGTATCTTTTTTTTTTTGTAAGTTTTTGTTTTTCTATTTCTACGGAAACGTGTACGAACTACCATTGACGCAAAATTGGCTCACAGCCAGTTCGAGCTTAAAGCTTTCCTATACTATCTGCTGTTCGAATGGTATACCTTCCAACTACCAGTTCCCTAGCTTGGATCACCGATCGAATATACGTTTCAACGTTCGTCGTGTGTAGCCCATTAGAAACATACGATTTATGTCTGCTCTACGAAAATATTTCGCTATTTTAAACCGTCGTCAGATAAGACAGCCAAAAGTGCTTTTTCTTCTTTACTATGATTCTTCCTCGTCGTTGCTACGAATAAGAAAATTTATCATCAAATATTCTTATAAAACCTATGTTATATAAACACACAGAAATATCTATTTGATATTAAATAAAAAATATAAAAAAAGATAAAAATTAATAATTATTATTTATCAATAATTATAATTATATTAATTTATTATTATATTATATGTATATAATTAAATATATTTTATTTTATTTTTTATTATAATATAATAATATAATTATTTAATAAATATAATTAAATAGTAATAATATATATATATAATAATCATTATTATATTATTAATAATTATTATTTTATAATAGTTACTATTATATAATTTATAATTATTATTTTAATTGTGTATTATATCAGATCTTATTATATAAAAATATTTTTAAAATCTGATAAATTCGGTATATTGCATTTTCCAATCTTTCAAATTAAAATTAAAATGAACATTAAAATTTTATATCACATTTTTTAAATTTTTTCATTTTTTCTCATATCAAGTAATTAAAAGGTAAATTATATATGATTAAAAAAATACTATTAACATTTTACTTATATAAGATTTGTGAAACATATTTCAAATTTATACCGAACATTAATAATTTAAAATTAATTATATGTACGTATAAATCTATAACGTAGGAATAATTTTATGAATTATTAATAATTGAATAATAATTTTATATTTACTTATTTAGTCGATTAATAACAACTACTCTTAATATCATGAATATGAATATAAATATAAAATTGATGATTAACTACAAAAATATTCGTTTAACAAGCAAAGAATAATTTTATTATTTTCATTTTTTGTTCGACGTATTCTTCGATTTCTAATGGGTGTAACCTTATGAAGAAAATTCCTTCGGGACAAATTGCAAATTTTCTGTGCAAAAGACTACCCCATCGTAATATCCTATTAAATATTCCCAGGATGATTCGTAAGGAATGAATTTACACGTTGAAACAAGCGAGAAATCTTGGATGAAGTTTAATAATTCACCCCACCCGTATATGTACATATATATATATGTAATACATACATTTATATATAACGGCAGTTGTGTAAAGGTTTTAAACACACGACGTGCTTCGGTATAGACAACTAAAGCTAAACTCAGAATTACTTGTTAATCCGACGAACCTAAATAATACTTGGCTTCGTAAAATGACGTACATACTTTGCTAACTACACTTATCAAACTTTCCTCCTTCTTGATACCCTTGATCTTTTTATACGTAGACACAAATATTACAAGAAGTAATTAACTTTGAAATTCTTTTTATATTATATTCGTTACCAATTATCTTGAAAATTCACTGTTTATTGATGTGAATCCATTTCAATCGAAAATTTTATACTGTATATACGTGAATACAGTATAACTCAAAAGTTACATTTAGCAAGATGAAAAATTAAACATTTTTGGACTCGCCAGATATATGAAACACGACGAGACAAAGTGAGCTCATATTATTTTTAACAACATTTCAACTGAAGATTCATACCATCAAATGAAAAACAAAATATTGTAATTTTTAAGCCAATATTGATTTTTTTCTATTTTTTTAGTAAATAAACGTATTTTGAAATATCCTCTATATTTTAACTCTAGTGTATATAACATCGAGAAAGAATTGTATTTCTATTCTAAAAAACCACACACACACAGACAGACAATATAAATCAATCATTTGTTTCTCATTCCAATTAAAAAATAAAACCATTAAAATATTACACGTACGATTAATTCATTTGTTTAAAGTTTCATGTTACAATTCTAACTGGATTTTTATTTAAAATCCAAATAAATTTGATGAAATCGCTTTAATACAGATCGAGGAATTCTCATCGATTTAAAAAAATTAAAGATAAGTTAACGATTATTTTAAAGACATCAGACAATTTGAAATATGAAAATCGTTTATACATATGCATTTAGTTTTGCAAATAAGTTAGCTATGTAAACTTACGTTAGACTCCTTTGAACGTTTGCCTTTTTAAGTAAATCTTCTATCGTCAAACGGCACACATAACTATGTAAGTATCAACTGACTAAAATATACATATATATAGATAAATGTAGGAGAAAAAATATTTATTCCAACCTGTCAATATTTATTCGCAAAAAAATATTTCTTCGCTTCCGTTTCCTTTTACATTATAGGAACAATAAAAAAAAAATAACTGATATCATATATGTGTGTATGCATGTACATAATAAATGTATACGCGTATTACAGATATATACGTACTTGAAAAAAATTGAATGAAAATAATTTAAGAAAATTCCTTTTGTTTCATGAAATAGAAAAATATATTTTTTAATGGAAAATTTGTTCTAATATTACGTACAAAAGTAAAAAATAATTGAAAAAAAAAAAACAAATTTTCACAACTTGTATATATTTGAGACTTGGCAGAAAATAATGTTTAAAAAAACAATTCTAAATATATATTTCTTTGACAAATATGTTTAAAAATTTTGTTAAAAAATATGAAATATAATTTTACGTAAATATTATATTGTACACTCAACTTTTATTTCGTGTGATCATTTCATTACACGGTCTAATAAAAATCAATTAGTTTATTTCTTCTAACACGATTTCAAAATCATTTTCCTCGTACTTGTTTGCATAGTTATAATGCATTTGACCAAATATTTTCATCAGGGTGAAATGCATAACTCGTGTTATTGGGTGTGTATAAGAGATTTAAAAAAATATGTTTTCATTTCTTTTTTTTACGACGAATAATTGATTAAATGCTATTTCTAATAATATTAATTAAAAGTTTGAAATTCTATCTTTTTTGTCATATATGTATTTATATGTTACTAATTTGATTTTATATACATATAATAACTGAATCATATATATGTGTGAATCTGATTTTATTATTAAACGATTAATTATTTATTATTAAACTTAATTTATTATTATTCACAAAATTTGTACAAATTTATAAATAAAAATTCAATAAGAAAATTAGCATAAATTTTCCGGACAATTCAATAATATCTCAAAACTAAGGTTAAGATTAAGTTAGGTTAGTTTTTCATTATTCTTTTTTTTATTCTTCTTTCACTTTTACAAAATTGATTTTTCGAATGAAATTCAATTCTTTATCTTATCTCACACGTTTTTTAGATAACATCGAACGCATCCCCTATTTTATAACAGAAAACTTATCTTTCTCTGTACAATTTCTTTTTTACATAATATTTTAACTAACGTATTTAACCTGTACAAAAAGTGTTGGATATGTACATATGCCAAATTTGATAAAAATATATATTTAAATATGTTCTCGATGTAAAAATGTCAATAATTTTTACAAAAAAAAAAAAACTTTCACATGCATGTATCTATTCGGGAAATCCGTTTAGAAATTATATACAAGAGAGTGCGACATAATTTAATATACATATACGTTGATAAAGTAGCAAGTAGAGGAGAGAAAATTCGATTCCGGCCGGAAGTAGTACTCGCAAGAAACGTATTACGTATTCCCTTCTCCCCGTACCGGTACCATAAGAGTAAAAGTAGAGAGTAGAAGTAGGAAGAGAAGAAGGAAGAGGAAGAGAGAAGTAGGAGAAGTGCAAAAACGTTTTAGGAAAATCTCTCGCAAATATTCATCCCTACGGATTTCAAATAAAATAGCAAAGACCCCTTCGGCAAACGATTACGTTCGCCGAAATGGAGTTGCACGATATTTCAACGCTCGTAAATTATACGAAAGCACCGGGGAACTAATTCGAAGTACTGCTTCATCATAGAGGAAGTCGGAATCAATTCTACGAATCAGTTCGAGTGTTCGAGTGTAAACTAGAGAATGAATTATCGATAAACCTTTTCAGCCATTTCTAACATGGCTCTTCTTTATCCTTTACTTTCTTAGCTTCTTCTTCTTCTTCTTCTTCTTCTTCTTCTTCTTCTTCTTTTTCTTTGTCTTTTGCATATAATGCATATCTCATGTAAATATGTGTTTGTTTATTTTATAAATGATATTAACGTTTTTGCGATAATCATATTCCCTTCGATATTTATATCGATCGTGAAAAAGCTAGTTGCACCTGGTTACTATAAAAACTACCATGTTTTCTTTTCTTCTTTGCTTACATCCCCAACCCCCAACCCTATCCCTATACTCATCTTGAATTCCACGAACACGTTCCAACGTATTTCTTGGCTACATAAGATAAACGACGAATAATTTGATGCGATGTTGTGTTACCACGCGTAAAACCACAACACTTCCTCTCCTCTCCTCTCCTCTCCGCTCCTCTTCTCTCCTCTCCTATCCATTCTACTCATCTCTCTTTTTCTCTCTTTATCACTCTTTCTATTTTCTATCTCTACACGTGCTAGATACGAGCTATCGATCTATTCCAACAGCATAATTGGTTACGCATCGAATGTTGAAATAGCCGGAAACTGGATAGAAAATGAGACCTGAGTAACAGCAATTACGTGAACCGCGATAGTTATGTGTTTGGCTAACAACAACTCGATACCAATTGATTAGTTTATTCGATAGGAAAAACAGTTAAGTGAATGCCGTTAATGGTTTCTAATCGAAATTTGTAAAAACGATTAATTTTCTATTCATAGTAGAAGGGATTTCCTATCAAATTACTCTTTAATTTTATTCAATTCAAATAATATTAATCGATCGATTATTTATTATTTTAATCAACGATAATTACAAACATTACCGATCGATAAATAAATAATGAAATAAAACGAGTTTGCAATATGTTATAACTTACTTCCCTAACCTTGTTGAATAACCTTGAAAAATGTAACGTTAATCCATAATGATGTCAATAATTTACATTATACGATCGAGGATAACTTATAAAAATGCAAAAACTTCGATAAAACTTTATCTATGTGGTAACGAGTTATATAAATCGATAAATGCATTCGAACAAAAATACTAAATGTCAAACTAGTAATACTTTTTAAATGCAATGAATATTTTGACGTAACTTCTTTATCTTCATAGATAATACTTATCAAGTTGAATATATTATACATTATTTTAAGATCGATTCGATAGCACATGACCGTGAAACGGTATACGATTAAGGCAAGTAGAAAAATATCACTTTTCTGTGGTATTACTTTGAAACCACATCCACAAGATACAAATAAAACAGTTAAATAAACTGACAATAAAAAAAATATTCCTCGGAGAAAAGTAAATGACGATGTTACTATCGATCTACATTTCAAATCTATTCGAAAAAGAAATGTGATAAACGTAAACATTAAAAATATTAACAAAATGTGTCATACCTCGTGGAATATTTAACAGTAACGTAATCGTTCCATTCTTCTTTTTATCCTTGAATGAAATTTCTCTGCTTGGTTGTCCAATTAATCGATGACGATGACAATGATGAATTTTTGATCATCGATTAGAAAATGTTGTCTAAAGAACACCAGTAGATCACTAACGTTATATGTGAACGCAAATAAATAATAAATATAGATAAATAGAAAATAAATAAATAGATAAATAGATAGAAAGAAGAGTTCGAAAGGAAAAATCGACAAAGATTAAGAAGTATAGAGATGATGCACTTCGTTGTCCGCGCGTGCACTGACTGACACCGACCTGTCGAGCACGTTACGAGCGTTAGCTTTTTCAGTGGGTGGGAGTTGGTTGGTAAGTGGGAAGAGGGTGAAAGCAGCGCGCGCACTCACACCACCTACAGGTGACTCACAGTAGCGTTCTTGTCAGTGCGTTGCTATGACGATAAAACACCACGCGTCGTTTGTAAGATAGAGATGACATTACAGGTATCACAAAGTGAGAGAGAGAAGAATTATAATAAAAATAGAAAGAGAAAAAAAACATTTAAAGATTTTTTTAAATTAAAAAAAAAAACAAATAAACAATAGGCGATTCTTCATTTTTAAATAGGAGAGCTTCATGTTCGTTTATACCAAATACTTTTATATACCTGTATACCAAACCTATTCTGACTTTTAATTCTTATAATTTTTCTTTTTATTTTTTATATGAAAATATGAAAGAAATTTAGGATGTTTTTATTTCGGTTTATTTTAAAAAACAAATTGGAAACATTATCATGAACTCGAAATCGACAAACTTTGTCTCGAAATTCTTTTCTCGGACTAAATAAACTCGACCGAGAGAAGCAACATATATAAGTCAGTATATATGTACATACATATTATACATATATAAGTATTTAGTTTGGATCGCGGTTTAAAACGTCTATCGATAGTCTAGCTTCCGTTAAATGTTAAGTCTGATTGGTTATTCCGAAAGTTTTCTTCCTCTTTACTTTTATCCACTGTTTTTAAATGTAACAAGTGTACGTTTCTTTAACTTTTCCTACGACTTTAAACCATTAAATACTTTTTATGTATATATGTACATGTATGTACATAGACAATTGAGTTCTTTGAGTAGAATTCAAAATTAATTGAATCGATCAATCATATATTTATTAAATCTAGTAATTATTAATGTCATCTTTGTTTCATACATTTATAAAAGTTATTCCACGTATAATAATCATAATATAAAACGTTTCATATATATATTAAAATGGTTTACATATGAAAATAATTGAAATGAAATGTTTCAAAAAATGTTCAAACTCACATTGAACACCCTGTTCTTTCTGAATGTCCGTAATTCTCGATCGTTATTACTTTAGATATTGTATATGTATATATATATATATATATAGTGCATATATAAGTGCATACATACGAAAAGTTAATAACACCACGGCATTGAAAGGAACCGTCGAACTTGCTACATACATATAGCATGGTATGAGACGGTCAAATAAGCTGATGCTGCAAGAACGTATCCGTGAATACGTAAGCTTTCCATGAGAACGCGACAGCTTTTACGTGATCAGCGCGTTCCGATATCCTTCGAAATTTCCAAGCCTCAAGAGAGAGAGAGAGAGGAAGTAATTCGTATGGAAATAAGTACAAAAGATATAGAGAGAAAGAGAGAAAGAAAAATTATAATAAAAATAAAAGAAGAAAAAAATATTTAAAAAATTTAAAAAAAAAATAAAAAAAAAACAAATAGACAGATAATTCGTTCGTTTCGTTCGTTGATTAGATGATTACGAAACTGTCATGTCAGTTCCTGACTAATAATTGCATCATATTATCTATCTATCTATAGATTCTTTCAAGCATATAAAAATAAAGTAGATAGGAAAGGAATATRAAGATAGTGTGTGTGTTTGATATTATAAAGAATTCTTTCATAGAGTTTTAATTGCACCGAGTAATGCAAAAAGCTATCAATCCTCGGTGATAACTGAGTAAGTAAATTTAATTTGAAGATTTTTATTTTACATATAAAAAATAAAATCATACTTTTTATTTTTATTCGGATATATCTAACCTGTTAACCGGAGAATTCCCTTTTTAATTACGCAGCTTTTTTTTATTATTTATTTATTATTTTTTATATATTTATTTATTTATTATTTATTATTATTTATGCTTAAAATAAATAAAAAGACTATTAAATATATATTTTTTCCTTTGTTATATTATACGTCCCGCCCGTTTAACAGGTTAATTGTATTCTTATCATTTTAATGATTTATTTATTTGTATATAAATAGTGTAATTAATGTTATTTAATAACTTTCTATTTATTTCTTTTTTTTTTTATAAACCTAAAGTTAATATGTGGATCAGTAATTTATTCTTTTTTTTTTTTTAATTAATCGTAATATTATTTTTCTAGTTAATAATTTTATTTGTATAATACAAATTACCTGCGTTGAATTTTAAAGGATATTTTAAGGATTTTGATAAATGTTTACATATCTTTTTTGACTCCCCAATTAAAAAATATTTTCTCGCATAAAACATAAAAAAAATGTTTATTCCGAGACGTAAGACCCTCGATCTCTTTCATATCTCTTTTCCTGTCAATGGAAAAAATATAGAAAAAATGAAGAAGAAGAAGAAGAAGAGGAAGAAGAAGAGGAAGAGAAGGGAAAGAGAGAAATACAAAAGGGGGAAAAACGGCTTTCATCGTCTCCTCTTCGATGTTTCACCAGGAAAAACATCACTGACGACAGGATAGAAAAAGGTATATATGGTATATAAGTATATATGTATACACATATGTACATATAGGGTGAAAAATTCTAAGCAAAATACTTTAACATCTGCCTTACTTGTAATTTAATTGAAAATTTTGCAAAACAAAGTTTTACTATTTAAATGAAATACATGTAACGATAAGATAATTCTTTTCTCAAGATCATTGTTTTAAATGGAATCATATATTTTGTATTATTACATAAATAAAAATAACCAGCTCGTAATTCTATATGCAAAAGTATTATCATTTTATAAATGAATACTTAATAATAATTACAAGATCGTCAAGGAAAGCATGTACACATTTAATCTATATACAAAATATAATAAAAGTCGTAATAAACAGACAGAAACGGTGAAATGATATTTTTATAGGAATATTTAAATAAAAATATTATCCCTTAAAAAAATAAATACGTTTTCCACGTGCCCGAGGTAATAACATTTTACATAAAATTGTACAGAGATAAAAAAGATCATGCATTTCGCTACTACATGTAACTTGTTTAAAAAAAAGTAAAAAACAAATATTAAAATGTCTCGTGAAATTTTCTTCATATGAACATAAAATAAAAGAAAATGAAAATTTATCAACGCGCGTGTCAGATTGAAATGACCCACCCCGTACGTACATAGAAATAATACTGAAAAGTATTTTATGTTCTCTTTTCCCTTTTGATTCGTCAACGTCTGGCAATGTTTAAAAGCAAACGCGTTCTACTATACTTCTCCGCCATTAACGTCGAAATGACTGAAAGCACAGTAATTAGATCGCCGCGTACAAAGTACCCCTACTTGGTTTACCATCCTACATTTATAGATTCTCTTGCACACAGTGCTTACTTTGATCATTTTGTCTTTGTGCTTTTCGCAGGATATTTTTATTCTTCTTCTCTTCTTCACCACCATTTTTCCATATTTTTTTGTTATTTCTTTTCATTTTTTTATCGAGGACGAATACGATGTAACGGTCAAAGGTCCGTTCTCGGTGGTTAGAAGGATGAAAGGGTGAAAGAAAATGAAAGGCGTTAAGGTAATCATCTAAAAAGGAAAAGGATAGTAAATGACATTATTGGCTTGTGTGTTAACGAAATGCGAAAGAAAGAATAAGTTGAGATCGAATTGAGGATTTAATGCAAGGATAACTCCTTGATATGGAAAAGGATGAAAATAAAAAAAGAGTCAGATGAAAAACGGAAACTGTATTTTTACGATGTTCCTTTTCTTTCTTTMATTCTTTTTCTCTTTTTTTGTTCCCTTCGATCTTCGCTAAACGATTCCAACGTAATTTATATGCATATCAACGTGAACAAAATTTAGAATATATATAGAAGGAAAAGAGAGAGAAAGAGGTAGGATGAGAAGGAGAGAGAAAGAACGATTTCACGTTCGACGTAACTTTTTAATTGTGTTTGCATAATCGTCAAAAACATCTCACGATAGATATATACGATTAATTGTAAATTGAAATTTATTATAAGACTAATACTCTTATATATATAGAAAATTTTTGTGTGTTAAATATACAAATATAATGTTTGTATATTTCTGATTATGTAACTTTACAATATTGTATATAATAAAATACTGTAAATTTACGATTTATAATAAGTTGCAATTTATGCTAATCATATTATACAATATATTACATTTTTGTTAAATATTCCTAATAAGATATTTGTAATTTTAATTATATGAACCTAACTTTCTAATATTGATCTTGGATAATCGCGTGTCAAAAGTATGATGATAAATATATATATTTATAATAAATATAAAATTTTTTATATTTTATAAAATTAAATTAAATATAAGAAATTTTATATTTAATAAAAAATTATAAAATATATATATATTTGTAATAGATATAAACATATATATATTAGGGTGGGTCAAAAAAATCAATTATTATTTTTTTACAAGTGCCACATAAAAAATGGGTTGCTAGACACCTTAAAAAAATTCTCACCAAATATGAGCTCTTAATTTTAATAAGAAGATCCTCCGCATCGCAGTTTTTTATTTTTTTCTCAGTCCAATATAATAAATAAATTCATACCTCATCATTAATTGATTGTACAGAAAAATGTTATAGAAGAATTTTGTAGGAAATTTAATGCTCTACAAAAAAAGTATCTTATATATTTTTTCCGTAAACCTCACCATTTGAATGATATTGAAGATTTAATTTTGATTATTTTAAGACAAATGTCATTTTTGTTTATGAATTTTATAACTCGACAATAAATGACTATTATAAAATGCGCAATAAAAATTTTTGTAGGAAATTAACTGCTCTATAAAAGCAGTGTCTTATGTTTTGGCGATTAATTTAAGCGTTCAAAAGATATTCAGAGACAGAAATCAGTACACATGAAAGTTTGATGATGAATAAAAAATCGAAGATCAACCAAAAATATTGTACATCCAATGACATTACTATAAATTAAGTTTTTGTTTCAACGTTTTCAACTTTTATTA